AGGAGGACCAACTGGAATTCCTACAGAAGCACTGAAAATGGACGCAGAGACAACGGTGGACATGCTCACACTACACCACTACTGCACAAGTTTTGGGGAGATGAAGGGAAGATACCTGTCGAGTGGAAGAAAGGCTACCCTGTCAAACTCCCAAATAAGGGAGACCTAAGCCTTTGCAAGAACTGGCACGGAATCATGCTCCTGTTCCTGTCCACCAAAGCAAAATATTAAGCCGCATCATCCTGGAGAGGCTAAAAGCTGCGCTAGATTCAAAATTATGACCGGAACAAGCTGCTGGCTGGCTTCCGAAAAGACAAATCATGTGCTGATCAAATTGCAACAGTACGCATCATCACAGAACAGAGTACAGAAAGGCAGTCAGCTCAACCTCAACCTCATCGACTTTGAAAAGGCCTTCAACAGCGTCGACCGAGAAGTAGTTTGGCAGGCAGCTGCTTCAACACTACGGTTTTAGTGTCACAAACCTTTATCAACCTCATTCAACAGCTATGTGAAAAGGCCAAATACCAAGTGATCCACAATGGAAAGCTCAGTGATGCCTTTGGAGTGAAGACAAGACAAGGCTGTCTACTATGACCCATGATCTTCCTGGTTGTGGTCGATTGGACTGGATCATGCAGCAAACAGTGAGGAGTGAGAAGATGGGCGTATACTGGCTGGACCGATGAAAAGAGCATAGAAGATTCGGATTTCGCTGTCGATGATGATGTATTTTTAATGTTGCACAAGCTGACAGAAGAGGCAGCGAAGGGAGATGGGACTTCTTTCAGGTGAACGTAGAGAAGACGGAGGTGATGAAGATACCCAACCAACAACGACAAGCACCTATCACCATTAACGGGAGAAACCTAAAAGAAGTAGTCTCTTTCACCTACCTACCTACCTTCCTAGCAGCATCGTTTCAACTATGGGGGGGCGGTGGCACAAACGAGGACATCGAAACCAGGATCGGAAAAGCAAGACAGGCTTTCATTCATCTGAAATTAGTGTGGAGATCTACTGCACTCCACTCAGCATAAAGCATGAACAAGATCCGGATTTTCAACACGAACGTCAGTCAAGTCATTGCTGCTATGTGGTTCAGAAACTTGGCGCGTCACGAAAAGCACTTCCAACAAACTACAGACATACATCATCAACAGCTGCCACCTACGCTCACTCGATACTGAAGATCAGATGGCCAGAATAATAAAAATAAACAACAAGGAGCTCTGGCTGGGTCATGAATCAACCAAGAACCTATCACCCAACAAATATGTAGAAGAAAGTGTAGATGGATTGGATTGGGCATACAGTGAGAAGGCCGACTGGGGACATCACGCGTCAGGCCCTTGAGTGGAACCCAAAGGGGAGATGACGAGTTGGGCGTCCCAGGTGAGGGTGACATGGAGGAGATGGTGTGAGGAAGAAATGAAAGGTTGTAGGCAGTCGTGGGGTGAGGTTGAAAAGACTGCAGAAAACAGAGTGGAATGGAGGCGTGCTACTGAAAGCCTATATCCCACTGGGAACCCAAGGGCAAAATAATAATTATAGTAATACAGAACATAAGATGCCTTGTGAAACGGCTAACTACGTTCTGATTATTACACAGCATTTATGACCACAGAACATCAACTTTTAAATTGGTTCCCCTAATTAGCACGTGTGACCGTGACGATAACGTCCCTACTATTATATAACTGTGACATCTCTAGACCGACCTAGTACATATAGTTGATACTTGCTTTGATTTCCGTATACCTGTAGGTTACAGAATTAACTAAACACAAAATAAGATACTGTAAAACCACTTACTAACAGGTGCTTCGGTTAGTAACACAAACATCTAGATAAGCTGATAATAAGTACATAATGCAATGTAAATTATAAAAACGCCGGATTTAAAAATGGTCAGAATCCACACAATTTAAATCGCATTTATTTTACGATGAGAGGACATCATAAACAATACCAACATAGGATCACGCATTACTGCATAACGGTCCAAATTGCCACACCTCATATCAGCACATCAAGTAACAAACCAATAAGATGAAGAAAGAAAGGAGAATCAATCAATACCAGTAAAAAGGAGTAAAAGAAAGGAAGATATCAGGAAATACCGAACTTAGTATGGTGAATAAGATGAGGACAATGTGTGGACACATCTAAGACACTGACATCGATTCTGAGCCTAGAGTCTCCTATCACTGGTTTCTTTTGTCACGTGGAACCACTCAGCCGGCTAGTATTCATCTCCCTAAGCGGCTCAGACCAACACTCACAGACTTAATGTACTGATGCCATCTTTCATTCTGGCTACTCCAAGCCTTCTTTCAACCTGAACATACTTCAGCTAACAATATGCCATGAGACAGATAGTGAGCAGGCATGCGTAACACTTGTTTCAGCCACCTGAACCAATAAAGATTCATAGTCACATCAACTGACTTTCCTCTCCTCCCTAAAACTCTATGCCTGACCTCTGTGTTACTCATGTGGTGACACCTCGACACACGCATGGCCTATGCTACGAAGTCAACTGTGGTTAAACATCTGAAGCCTTCTCATGTCCTCTCTTCGTAGGGCCAAGTTTCACAGTCATACAGTAGAACATACCAAACTGCAGTGCAGCACACTCAACCCTAATAGACAATTGGATGTGGTGACATCACAAATAGCATAAGTTGGCGAATGTCAAGCGAGCCTCTGGTGTCCGTGCAAAGATTTCGCCGGTCACTCATCCACCAGGGGTGATCCGACTTCTCAAGCAAGAGAAGAATTAAACACACCCAAACAACCACTTGACTTCCATTTGTTAGCCGAGGCACCGCTGAAAACCTATCCTGTGGCACCACTTTGCATTTGAATGGTGAGAGACGCATCCTTAAAACATTGTCGAATTGCCACTCCAGGTGTGCAGAAGACTGAAGGCCTAATGTTATCAAGAATTCTTGTTACGCATAATGTGGATTTTTAGTTAGAGGTGTTCTAAAAGCTTTCAATAAAATACGATCAACAACTTGCATTGAATTAACAATCAATTAGTAGTGTTTGCTCTATGCATTCTGCCGTCTGTTTAGAATATTGAAGCCCTCCGTTCAATCACACATAAATTAGCATCATTTCTGTAAAATTATTTCCACAAATTTACAATATATCGTGGATGACCAGCCAATTAACTACAGTTAAAGTGTTTTCAAAATATTGTAACAACCAACATTATTTTCCAGTTGTGGTTGATCCAGAACTCTGAAGCGAATCGTGTCGTTGTTTTCAAATCAAAATAAACTAACACATATTTATGTAGTCAAGAAGCCAGAGTAAACAGTCTCAGTAAGCGTACAAACGAAAAAATGTTTCGAACAACTATTATACACGAAGACCAAATTTGCCACAGCGGTCTAAGCGCAAGTGTGTAGATCGACTCAAAGAAGTGCTGAATACGGTTTCAAAAAGCAATCCAATTATTTTCTTGTGTGTACCGATTTACAAAAAAGATTTAGTTATGACTGTCAAGCATGACATGTGGTCCAAATAGATTGGATAATGACCCCCTCTTCTAGTTTACTGCATCTGCACACATAAACATATTGTCTCAGGCACTCGTATTTCAGTATATTAGTAAATGCAATCTACACATATTCTTCACAGAAATGTGATGGCCATTTATAAGAATGAGTTAAGTTATCATAGACCTAAATTGCGATTTCTTAAATCAATTCATATAGTTTACATACCGCAGTATGAGACAGTAATGCATCACAACGCAAGCAGCCTAATCGGCTATGTGATTTCAGTGTTTATACCAAATAAAACAGCGTTGCCTCATTTGTTCCTCAAAAGTGCTTCACTCCATTAATCACGTATAATATCTCACGACAATGCATCCACACATTGGTAGCACTATAACGCTGATTCACGGTTTAGCCCTGAATGCTATCCATTAGGATGTCATTATGGTTTGCAATTCCGCAATACATTCACCGACATACAACCCTAAATATGCAATTTTAGCTTCTCCTACTCTTTTAAACACTTTAAGAGTGAAACGGCCTTCTGCACTTAGCATGACGAATTTGTGAGCTGTGAGGTGAAAATTAACAGGACTAGTGCTAGTGAATAAAAGAAGGCGACAGAAGACAAGGAATACATGTATACAGAAAAACAAAATGTCCATAACTTGAAGAAGGATGAACAGAAACGAAATCCACACTATTTTAGTCTGTTTTGAGTCCCAGAATACCATGGACTAAAGCTTCTTATTAGTAACTATTGACATGAACTTGCCTTAATACCTGAGACATTATAACCTGATTTCACTTCTTGTAACAACCCGAAGAAATGAAAGCGGAAAGAGTATAAATAATTAAAATACTTTGTTCTACAGTACTACCATAAGGCTTGGTTCCTTATCGATCCCATACGATTTAAAGTTGCGAAATAGTTTCCTTTCAATAAAGGTTAATTTGCGTATTTCAATCAGTTTTCTCAGTACAAAATCACTCACCTTGTTTTTGTTCATTACTGTGACTTATCAGTCAGTAGTGTATGCATATTTATATGAATTACTGCTACTGTAACTACAGTTGACAAGTCTTTTTTCGTTACTGAACAAAAGTTGTGCCTCATATAAGTTAAAATGATAGGTGAGACTGACTACGTGTTTAGTGTGGATTGTCAGTGGATCAAAATCACATGATAAAAATCCATAACACGACTCCATTCAATGATGCTTTGAGAAAGATAGCAGCGAAACTGCATCCAAAACTGTCACTTCAACCGAAGCAGCTTCACATAATCTGCTTTACTTAAATTTTATATATATCCAACATATTTGCTATCCAATATTTCCAAAAAACATCAAAAGTGTAATCACGAAGGCATCTGAGATGAGGTCTGTTGCCTTTTTATCCAGTCTACCTGCTGAAGTAAAATATTGTGGTTACATACTAAGAGAGACATAAACCACACAGTATACAAATATCCAGGAATGTAGCCAACACTAAGAATGGTGGTGTATTTCTCTGAATGCCTATATTCATAATAAAATTCTGACAATAAGTAAATCACCGAATGTAAGAAAATCACCAACCAGATGAAGCGGTCAACACGCTGATACAAGTGCTTGAATATACAAATTATCTATCAAGCATATGTACATGACTCAGTTATAAAAAAAGGAGTTCCAAATCATATAAACACGAAATTTTTGAAGAATTTTCTAAACCCTGTAGGCTGGTTTTGTTAATAAATGTAAGCAAAAACTATGCTCAAACATAGAGATACGTGCAAAGTTGCATTCCCCTCCCCCGCCACCCCGTGAGTACTCAACAGAGTAGCTCTATTTCCTTCATCTATAGAAAAATCAATGGTATAGACAAAAAGTGTTTATCAAAATATGTACAAGGTATCAATTTCAAGGCTTCAATATCGTCTCTCACGATCCTTATCTCGAGACCGTTTATGATCTAAAAATAGTTAACAATTAGTGAATACGTACAATTCTGATTACCTGGTGAACGGTCATCATCACGTTTAGAACGACCACCTCGACGCTCTCCAGAATGGCTTCGTCTGTGAAGGATGACAAAAAGACAACTGAAAAGTATTTCCTGTATGAACTGAAAAAGTAGTTGAGCTAGTATGAAGACATGTTTACACAAGATAATCACAACACAACGCAATAATAAGAGGAAATTCTTCAACGATACACATTCTGTCATCATCACTAGAAGAAACAAAACTTCCGCATACTATGTACGGGTAGTATTTGGTGACCTATGCTGATTGATTGATCGAGTAGTTGGTGGGATCAAAGCACAAAGGGGTAATGTATTAGTTTAGGCTACAGGACAACAAGAAAATTAAAGGCGGCCGGGGATTTTTAATTTACGAGAGAGTACACGTTTGGACTCCGATCACGAGTTAGTACGGGGATGTGTTACGGCCCTTACTAGTCGTCGAAAAGAGGCGTTAGTAAAACCTGTTGATAATCGGTTGGAAGACAAGAATTTGTCTGAACGTGACAGTAATGCTCATCCTGAGGAAAGCTGGCGTAATATTCAGTCTTCTGTATAAACAGCAGTACAGATAGTTGGTAACGCAAATACAAAAGTTAATAAACGTCAATAGATTTCCTCAACCTTATCCGACCTGATTGATGCAAGAAGGTTCATCCCAGGCCTAAACACAACGAGAATCGAAAGCAGTTTAAGCGAATATTAACTAAGAATTTTCACAATGATTGTGAGAGATGACGGGTGGTGAAATGAGCATTACCGAAAACTTGGCAACTATTTAGGCATATTTAGGATAATGGGAAGAAGACGATGATGACTACGAAAGAAACAGTCACTGTAAAACATAGGGTCATGACAACCAGCTAGGGCGCTGGGCAGAACGTTTTGAAGTTTCAATAAATGCCAGATAGTACCCAATGCTGATTTTTTCCCCATCTCTTTCTTCCGTATACTATCAGAATAAGTTTAGTTTATAAGATACCTGTTACAGGATTTTGATTGATTTTGAGGTGTTTGAAAAGCTTCTAAGTGGGAAAATTAGTTTGCTTTCTGCTGATTCAGCATCGTACTCCCTGGAAAGCATCTGACTGACTTGAAGTATACAGACGAAATTGTCCTGTTACGTGAAGACACTGACGAAATGCAGGGTACTCTGAACACCTTGAGAAGAAATCTGAGTATGTTTGGGATTTGTTTCATTGGCACCTGTCAAATGTAAGATGATGCTCCATGACTGGTTTGCATCAACCCACAGTTCAACGATAGAGTGAGGAGTGGAGGAATGTGTCGACCACTTCGTTTATTTGGGGTTTGCAACAGGCCGAACAAGCTAGTTGCTGATGCAGTCTCAACACGGATAGATAAGGCTTGTTTGTCATCCACAAATTTGCATCATCTCTGGCTTTCACTGAAGAGATATTTGACAATCTATCGAAGGATGAGTATAGGACATTGCAGTCCGCTCTGTCCTCCTATACGGTTGGGCCGTTAAAAGTAGACGATATGAAGTGGTTACAGGGCTTTTATCACACGTATCTTCGTAGCATTGCTCGCGTTGGAACGTTGGATTAGGTTGGAAGAGGGTGTAATGTGGCCACACCAAGACGCGGTACCACTTCATGAAGTTCCTGACTATTGGTTTAAGCCATGTGAAGCGTAGACTTTCTGAAAGGATATGAATCAGTGGTTGAGAACTCTTGGGAAAAAAACAATCCAGCAGCAGGCAACTACTGAATTATTTCCATAGAACTTTCCAATAATATGTACCAGCTTGTCTTTTAGTCAAAATAAAGACATTTGATTCAAATGAAAAGCATAGTATCGTTGACTCGGTGAGTTGACAGTTAATCCCCCGCTTTAATTAGCTCATGAATTTGAGTCGCATAATTATGAATAATAGATAATTCTCGATTATATTGTAAGATAGTCATGTTATACAGAGAACCGATTGAAGGTTTGAAATATGAATGGTTAAGTTCTAAATGAGTATCTCAAGAATAATGAGTTTATTACAAAATTTGAATATCTTAGATAGGATCAAGAGTGAACACTGCTGAATAAACTCCAACTGCGATAACGACGCTTCACAAAATCACTATTTTCTTTTTGACCAACCATACTGTCATACTGTATGCGATCACATATGAATGTAACAATAATACGAGCTTATTTTTATTCTTTCAAGGATTCTTCTCAACTGCCTAGAACCTAAACAATATCAAAATGCATACATGACAAAAGTTAAAAATACAATCTGCCTCTCACATTCCTGACGATCTTCCCAATCCTAACTATTTACTTTGTTCACTATTTATGGTACTGGTTGATCCTGTCCATAACTTCTTGTCAGTCTGATAAGAGTACGTTCAATTTTGTCACGCAAACATCTTTATATTGCGTAGTTCGTAAGAGGTTGACAAAGATCCTCGAAAAACATCAATAGACAAAACAACAAGACTTACACTTTTACATCATATTTGCCATTACATCTTAATTTTTTAAATGGAGGACATTGGTAATTCCCAGTAGTTGTTCAATATTTTAGGCATTAACTTTTAACCATTCGGTCGCGGCAGACAAATCTTCCTCCAACTACATTTCAACATTCAGACATTTTCGCCAGTTGTCACACAGCAAATGCGATTTACAGCAAAGTACACGAACCCACATATAACTGCTGAAAACATTCACTTTTCAGACACATATGAAGAATATCAATACTTGTTGCACATTAAATCCATCCGTGTGCGCATATAATTCAAAGTTAGCTGTTCATAAACTGACAAAAATGAAGCGTAACTCAGTGAGCTTACGCAGTTTACTGTAGTGAAGCAAATATATTGTATGGTGACATTATACTACCTGGTTGTCCAAACCTTGGGAAGTAAAGTGAAAGTCTAAACCAATGAGTTACGGTACGATTGTTCACCAGTTACAGCTAGTCGGCTAAAAAGCTCAACCTGAGCACAGACCACTCAAGTCAATACCTTGTTTCTACAAAGAAAACTTTATGCGATGATGAAATTAATCCTATTTTTTTCCACTGCTACTTCGAAATTCAATGGACTAAACTTATTTACTTCCTAGAGTTAGCTGTATTTCGTCGCGCCATACACATCGTTTCATATTATTTCACCTACACCTTAATCCTCTCCTAAGCGGTAGTTGAATTCGCTACAATTCGCTAAGTACATAAATACTGATCAAAACGATTCAAAATAAAATGCCAGAGACTTGAATAAGACATAAACTTATGTGAGACTTTTTAGAAGCTATGATAACTGATTGGTTGTATTAACGATATCAAACCAAGGTTATTAATAAAAACTTTCCCAAAATGTTACTCAATAAACTCATGTTGGAGAAGCATTTATCCATCACTCATGGCTAACTTTTAATAAGGACCTCTGTCTTACCTACGAGCTTTTTCTCGATCATATTTTCGGTCATAGTCTTCACGGTCCTTATACCGTGACGATACATGATCTCGTTCTCTTTCTCGACGATCAGCATGGGGAGATTCTTCACGATATCTTCGTCGATGATGATGATCTTTGTCTTTCCCGTGTTCTCGTCGTTTATGTTTGTCTTTATCTTTAGATTTATGATTTTCGTCGGTATGGTTTAATGTATCAAATTCTTCCATGTACTGCAAATCTTCTAAATCCTCATTTAAAAGTGACTGTCGAGGTTCCAAACTGTTTAGTTCTTCAAGCACTTCTCGCTTTTGTAGACGGGGAAGAATAACATCGCAAACACGCTCCTCTGTGAGCAACTGATCAATAAAATCATCCATATAAATTAAGCTGAAGTCTAGAGAAATGATTAATCAGGACAATAGGTCAACTTACTTCCCATTTTATCTTGAAACTTTAGACGTCGAAAATCATTGTATAACGTCTCTAGATATTTGTATATCTCAACAGAACCACCGACTAATCTAAGGTAGAATGCTCCTAAAGCTCGAGCATATCTAGAGCTAATCAGCTTTTAAAGTGGTAAACTAACTTGTATGGTTCTTGTTTGATAAATTCAATAACGATATCTTTATCCGGTTGAATCTGAAGCATCTTCAGTGTAAGACACAAAAATGGAGTCGGCTTAACACTCCCACTATACACCCCACCAACATAACGCAGTTCTACAGCCTTATCGACAAGCAACTCGGCTAGGAATAAAATACTTTAGAAAAGCAACATACCTGTAAGAGCGAAACAATGTTCTTTCCAAAACTTTGACTCGTAAATTCGACTGCGCACAATTTTTTCAACAAGATATTGAGGATTAGTTCCATGAACTGTATGAGCATCTTTGACTGTGCGATTAGCCATTTAGCAGTGGTAATCCCCAGATAAAAACTGTTTCAGAAAATAAATATTATGTAGTGGTTACGCAATCATTTTTAAACTCGCAGAGTGTAAATGCCTTCGGCTATGTAGTTCTGTACACAAATTCAAAATTCTGCACACAAAGCTTGCTCTCAGCGCGTTGCGTAGTGAAATACAGTATCTTTTCATAACTCGAACAGAAAAGGAATGACATTGTGCGGAGCAAGAATGAAAATTGACTGCAGGCATGACCCAAATGAGTGAATGAGATAGCAATCAGCTTCAGTCATATCATGATAGAAATTAGTATCAATAGCAAATATTTCATGACTTGCAAGAGGGACATCACTTCCTACTACCAAATACTACAAAATCCACTATTTTATTAGATATGCATTCATCTTAATCTCTGGATCAATTTCTTTTAGTTTTAATGTGTAAAAGTGTATTGGAGTCTTTTTGATGCTCGTAATACTTGAACACCAAGCATAAACCTGATTGTTGCAGTTACTGGATTATATCTCATTTCTTAAGCCATGCGATATTTTCGAAAGGTGAGGAAGCTCAAGGGCATTAGTCTGGTTGCGCAAGTGTCACAACGATTTACCGAGCACGGCAGCTGAACATTATGGTAGTGAACAAAAAAATGACTGGATGAATTAAAAAATGATACGATAAAACAGGAGACAATGAACAGTATGTAAAAGCATACATCCTCATATATTAAGACTTAAAATATAGATATTACTGGTATAAACCTCGGTCCTCTTAAAAAAATTATCGAATCATCCTGAGATAGAAAACACTACTAAAATGATCTACATCACTGCCGAATGAAATTTTCCACCTCTACTAAGTAAAGCATGAAATTTTTTGCAATGAAATGGCTTTGAACAACCGTATATGTCAACGTATTTGACGATTGCTCAGTTATAATACAAACGTAGTCATTTTTGGTGCAAGATAATGACATCAACCTATTTGCTCCTTCAATTAAAACTCGAAAATTAACTTCAGCATTGATCATCTACTGGTTACACTACTATAGTAATTTGGTAAGTGCCAGGTGGTTTGTAAGGGAACTAGCTGATTCCAATTTATGGATTAACATCACACAAAAAGCACTGGATTAGATTTTTCTTCCCAGCCATAGTCTTCAACAGTGTCTATACAAAAAAGCTTGAGAGATAGGATCTGACTTCATGGAAAACACCTTTCTGTTCAGTTACCGATTAAATAATCATCAATAATGTAATTAAATCCAGTACATGTTTATGTACTCAGCTGTAAGCCACAATAATTGCATAAAACTTCATGATACTACCGGGCCGCTAAAGCGTAAATGGTAGTTA